CGGAAGAAACTGGGCAAGACCTTGCCTGGTTTCACCAATGCCATCTGTGTTGCAGTTAGAGATTTTCAACATTCATTTCTCATGGCACTGTGACTTTTCATCATTTCTGTGTGTCTTTTTAGACACGATAACACAAAGTCAGTAAAGGTTGTCTCCCTCTGCTGGCCAGGCACCACTGCCTGCTGGAGACCTCTGTCTGAAGAGTCTGTTCTCGATGTGGTATGTGTTGTGCTGTTTGTGACACCCAGGCAGACACTCCCCATAAGGAATCAGAACGTCTGACGTGAGGCTCAGCCTTGGTCCTGACCCCAGCCGTGCAGTGAGGCTCAGCCTTGGCCGTGACCCCAGCCCTGCAGTGAGGCTCAGCCTTGGCCGTGACCCCAGCCGTGCAGTGAGGCTCAGCCTTGGTCCTGACCCCAGCCGTGCAGTGAGGCTCAGCCTTGGCCCCGACGCCAGCCGTGCAGTGAGGCTCGGCCTTGGCCCTGAGACCAGCCGTGCAGTGAGGCTCAGCCTTGGTCCTGACGCCAGCCATCCAGTCAGATCTGTTCCACTTCTTCTCTGTGCAGCTGTCCGGGCTCACAGCTTTGAAATTAAGAAAAGTGGAAAATGTACCAGGAGTGAGGACAGCTTCACTTCTTCTACCTAGGGATTTCTGCTTCAGAGAGGCGTCAGTGAGCAAGTAAATATTTTATTTCCCCTTCCAGCAGCAAAAGTGTGACTACAAACCTTATAGAGCAAAAGAATGTCCTTTTTTCCAAAGCGTCACTTCCTCGCGGGGTGCCTACCTTGTCCCCAGAAAGCTGCTAGAACTCCTTCCAGATTGCCCTGTTGGTGGTGATGCTTCACCCTTGTACACCGACTTGATTTTTAGAAAATAACTAAAATGTATTTGGAGCCGGGCGCAGTGGCTCATGCCTGTAATCCCAGCACTTTGGGAGGCCGAGGTGGGTGGATCACTTGAGGTCAGGAGTTCAAGACCAGCCTGGCAACATGGTGAAACCCCATCTCTACTAAAACTACAAAAATTAGCTGGGCGTGTTTGCGGGCGCCTGTAATCCCAGCTATTTGGGAGACTGAGGCTTGAGAATCGCTTGAACCCGGGAGGCGGAGGTTGCAGTGGGCTGAGATCATGCCACTGCACTCCAGCCTGGGCAACAGAGCAAGACTCTGTCTAAAAAACATAAAAAATACAATGTATTTGGCATGAGGCGTAGTCATTGATACAACTCATGGACTTAGGAAATGTTGACTAGAGATGAGATGCTGCTATGCGGGTCATGAGGCAGCGTCAAGCTCCCAGGGCAGGTCGGCAGAAGGGGCCCAAAAGCTTACTGTTAAATGACAACAGGATTAGAAGAGGCACAGAACTGCCCAAAACGTGAGAATCACGGCTTCCTTACGTAGAGGTGGAGCCCTTATGGATGCATGTATGTACAAAGAAATCTTATTATAGAATCTTTATAAATTCCCTAAATAGTGTTCATTGTTTTGGGTTTTTAAAAATATTTCACATTGTATTTCATCACCATAACATCTCTAAGGGCGCCACCAGGCTTTAAAAATTCATATTACACAAATGAAGAAACTGAGGGTTGAAGCACCGTATAAAGTTAGTTGTAGAACCAAGGCTTTCTCAGGCCTCTGAGGTGAACCACATTCTGCCCCTCGACCCAGGGATGATCCACGAGGCAGAGTGGGTCCGCATTTAACTGCCCTAATATTTAGTACAATTTTATTTCTCCTCAGTAAAACAGCCTCATATTACAAACTAAGAGAAGGAAGGAAAGAAGGGAGGAAGGGAGGGAGGGAGAAGGAAGGAAGGAGTGAGGGAGGAGAGGAAGGGAGGGAAGAAAGAGATGATCTGGCACTCACTTTATGTAACTGGACATTTTACTTGGGGCTGTGTATTAGTCAGTTCTCACACTGCTAATAAACACATACTCAAGGCCGGGCACAGTGGTCCATGCCTGTAGTCCCAGTATTTTGGGAGGCCGAGGCTGGCAGATTACTTGAGGTTAGGAATTTGAGACCAGCCTGGCCAACATGGTGAAACCCCATCTCTACTAAAAACACAAAAATTAGCTAGGCATGGTGGCACACATCTGTAATCCCAACTACTTGGGAGGCTGAGGCATGAGAATTGCTTGAACCCAGGAGGTGCAGGTTGCAGTGAGCCAAGATTGTGCCACTGCAGTCCAGCCTGGGGAATAAAGTGAGACTGTCTCAAAAAATAATAAAAATAAAAATAAATAAATAAATAAATAAAATAAAGACATACCTGAGACTGGGTAATTTAGAAAGAAAAGAGGTTTCATGGACTCAGTTCCACATGGCTGGGAAGCCTCACAATCATGGTGGAAGACAAAGGAAGAGCAAAGGGGTGTCTTACATGGCAGCAGGCAAGAGAGCATGTGCAGGGAGACTGCCGTTTATAAAACCATCAGATCTCGTGAGAACTTACTCCCTACCATGGGAACAGTATGGGGGGAACCACGCCCATTATTCAATTATCTCCACCTGGCCCCGCCCTTGACATATAGAGATTATTACAATTCAAGGTGAGATTTGGGTGGGAGCATGGCCAAACCATGTCAGGCTCTCAGTAAAGAAACAGTGTGGTTGCTACGTCTAGAAAATAACAAACCACACCAGAGTAACACATCCTTGCCTCCTTCTAAAGCCATGAAGCAGGCTTGTCACTGTGTGTCCATGTTTTGCGGCCAAGAGCTTTAAGCAGGAACAGTACCATGGCTCCGTGGGCCATCTCACTGCTGTTGATGCTGCACACCCCAGCCCCCTGGCTCCATCCAGTCGTTCTCAGCCTAGTGACATTTCCAGCATGATTTGCTCCAGAGGCATCAAGAGAAGGCTTGCATCCATCTCCTTTTCATTTATAACATTTCACTTCCAAATTAAGAAACAGAAAAACTGAGGAGAGTGTGTAGTCATGTTTGGCCTAGATGAAGATTATTTGTACAAAAGAACACTATAAAAAGCAGAAAGAGGCATAGAATGAATGAATGTTTCCAACAGTTGAGAACAAAAGCAGCATTCTTCCTAATTAGTATGAAGGACATAAGGGGAAGAAATAGTCATTCCAGGAGATCTTACTTTTTCTTTCTTAATTGCATGCAGACAAAATGTGTTTGCTGAGGGAGTAAGTGCAGGGTTCCCTGTGGCTTCGCCACTGCCCCTGACGTGGACATGGAATCTGCAACCACAGTCCCCATCCGGCTCTCGCACACGTCCGTCCCCACAGCTTCTCTTCTGCATCCTCCGGTGTGGACTCAAAGTCCAGTTAAAACATCATTAAAAAATAAAAGTGTTCCATGTGAAGCAAGAGCTAGGCACAGACCTTGAATTATATTTAAGGACAAAAGTGAAATACATTTTTTTCCTATGATTGTAAATAATGGCCAAATCTCATCATTATACATACCTGTCCCCGCCTTTGGGCCATGAAACAGCAAAGCAGGACCTTTGGTGAATGTTGCTGGCAGGATGTGCCGCCTTTCAGTGCCAGGGCCAGGATGGAGAGCAGGGGGAGGGCATGGCCCCCGTGGACATGCAGGCCAGGCCCTAGGGCAGGCCAGGCTCTAGGGCGGACCAGTGTGGGGCGCAGATTGTGCAAAGAAAAACAACCATGTTTCAGATATCACAGAAATGGAGCAGGTTGAAAGGCATGACAGCTGGATTACAGCTGAGCGCCCCTCCTATGTTCTTGGGTTGAGTGCCTCCTCACGACCCCAGTCCTCAGGGACTCCCCAAGACCACAGTGGGCAGCTGCAGACCTCCCTTCCGGGTCATGCACCAGCGGCCCCCGTCTCAGGCCCTCACCGGCTTGCCACTGTTCCACTTGTTTGCCACATGGTCCCGATTTAGGTCAAGTTATTAAGAACCTTGATTAACAAGCAGGTGTGGGAAATGGGGGAGATGCGGCACTGGAATCTCCTGGTTAACTGAGGCTCCAGCCAAGGCACCTGGCTACTTAGTCCTTTCTGTTAAAATAATTATTAAGTGTAGTGAGGTCCCTCTCCCACTCGCCAGGAATTGTCTAGTGAATGTACTGCTGTCTTTAGTGATAAAAGATCTTGTAAGACCACAAAGTAATCATTCTGAACAGTAGATCTCATTATAGATAGAGAAGGGGTGAGTGATTGAACGCGCATTAGCTGGCTTCTAGAACATTCTGGGATTCACCTGGGAATAGTCTTTTTGGGACATTAATTTTCTGAACACTTTCTTCTTCCTCTTAAATGTAAAATTGTATTTTTTAATCTAGTTTTTGGAGGGTTCTGCGTGACTGGATGAATTCCCAGAAGCCCCAGTACCCCTTGGGCTAAGTAGAGAGCGGCACAGAGCCTGTGGTAGTTTCAAGTTTGGGCAGAATCAGGCGCATGACCCTTAAGATATCAAACCAAGTTTGCCTGAAGCCCAGAGCCATGAACCAATTTCCCTAATTAGCTAGAGAGTGTCCCTGGGTATTTTATCTTTAAGGAGGAGGAATTAGAGAATGGAGCCTTCAACAGCCCAGGCTGGGATGCTTTTCACCCTGTGTCACTCTTTGGGGCCTCCCACCAGCCCTTTTCAGGTTCTTTCTCTGTCCTGCCTCCCCGGACCCCTCGCTGTCCCCATCAGGTGGTTAGTTGTGCGTTTGTCTGGTACTGCGGTGTGAAAGTCAAGGCATCAGCTGGAGAGACGTGACCTCAAAACCCACGGAGCACCCCCACGCCCCTCACCCCCAGGGCAGCCACACGCAGTGACAGGCAACTCCCAGTGCCTTTGGGTTTATGTAGCACGAGGTAGTGCCTGGGCGGCCCCTCCGAGTCCCGCGTCCGTGCAGATTCTTGATAAACCGGATTTCAGAAGCTCGCAGGCTGGCTGTGTCACCGCTCGCTCCGGCCCCCGGCTCCCGTGTCCGGGGCTGGGGTCGGGGGTGCCCTGGCTTCCGTCGCGCGGGGGTCCTGCCAAGCTACTCATGCTGTGTTTGGCGTTTCCAGGGAGTACTACATCACCATGGTGAAGTGGGCCACCAGCACCAAGGTCGCCGTGACCTGGCTGAACCGGGCGCAGAACGTGTCCATCCTCACCCTCTGCGACGCCACCACGGGGGTCTGCACAAAGGTACGCGGGCTGTGGGGTGGCGGGAGGCGGAACGGGTGAACAACCAATAGCCAGACGCGCCCGAGGTGGCGCCAGAGTCGTCTCAGCCCTCGGGCCTGGGACGTGGGGACCGGCCGCCGAGCTGCTGCGGGGAGCCTGCGGCACAGTCCTGGCTCCGGCGCGGCTGCCACCTCGTGGCTGATGCAGGTGCTGCCGCAGACCCGGCCGAACCCCTCCGTGAATTGCCAGAGTCACCCCGTGCCTGGCACCTGGACGCCGTCCACTGTTCACTGAGTGTCGCTCCCTTTATCCGCGCTCACCGCTGTCACCTAAGTGAGCGTCCTCGTTGCAGCTGATGCTCGGAGAGGAGGGGCCCTGCCTTTCGCCAGACCCCGCCGACAGCCTCCCCCAGCGGGCTTCAGGCGTGCGTCCCTCCGCAGGTCCTGGTGGGGCCAGCCATGTTTCTAGGAGCCTCAGGCTGATTCAATGTGTAATGAGAGGAGGTAAACGTAGGGGAAAGAAAATTAAAACGCTCACAGTAAACAAAGGAAAAATCAAGTCTAAGAGAGGCCGCCCGGGTGGAGCAGGCAGGCGGCCCACTGCGCTCACCCACGGCCCCATGGGATGGGACCTCCCCACCCCACACTGCTCCATCAGGGCCCCCAGAAGCAGGTCCCCTTGTGGCGGGTTTTGTAAAAATCAAATAAAATCGATTAATACATTCAGGCAGATCTTTCAGAAAGTCCTTTTTGATCTTAAGTTTCTATCTCCCAGCTGAGGGGGGCCAAGGCTTGCAGGCATGTTTTCTCGAGATGCTCCTAACGCAGCAGCTGTCGCTGTGATCCTAAGCACTGTGATTCCTTTCTAAGGTGGTCAGTCTTGTGTGACCTTTTATCTAAGCTGGGGTGGATTCCAGGCTATTCTGATGAGCTTGCTTGAGGGGAAGGAAGGAATGAGAGGACACAAAGCAGGCAGCTAAAAATGGCTTGTAATCTGCAACTTCTCCATGCCCCTGAGCCTTGAGTGTCAGCGGCAGATTCTGCTTCCTGCTATAACCCATGACAGAGGCCTGCTCCAGGGGCCCAGAGGTCCAGTCTGCGCAAGCACCAGGCCCACAGCACCTCCGAATGACACATGTGTGCTACACAGCTTGAGTTTGGTGTCTGGGGTTTTGTGTTTCTTTTGTTTGCACCTTTCCACAGACCACTGTGAGACCTACTTTTCCTATATGCTTTAGCCCCTTTGAAAGGGTTTCTGGTCCACCAGGAGTGTTACTCACTGTTCCAGAATGGGATCTGGACACAGTGTCCACACATTCTGACTCAGTGTAGCCTGAGGTTCACTGTTAGATGGACACATGCCCGGCCAGTGCTGACCGCCCCCTGGTACACACGCCATCTTCCTCCAGAGGGTTCTTTCCCGCCACGCGTTTGTCCTTGTTGCTAGGGATAGTGACATTTTCTCATTCGAGGACACTTGTGTTCAGCTCCGAGCCACACACGAGACAAACAGGAGAGCTTGGAATTGCCTCCTCCTGGAGCTGCCATGGCAGCCGTGCGATGCTTGTGCAGCAACCGTGTAGGTGAAGCCAAATTGTTTTCTGCACTGTTGGTTGCAGACACAATATATGGGGGGAAAAAAAACCCTCTTGTCTAATGCTCTTATTTCATTTCAGAAACACGAGGATGAAAGTGAGGCCTGGCTCCACAGACAGGTAACTACTGCACATCCGCGTCCCCACCATCACCTCCACCTGATCCACCCCAGGGCTGGCTCTCAGAGCTTGGACAACTGTAGAACGGCTTCTCAGAGTAAATTGCACAGGGCTCCCCAGGCAGAAACAGATGGTGTGCTGGCTCTGCTCACAGTGCCTCCCATTCTCCAGGGCAGCCCAGAGAGCTCCCAGAGAATCTGAGTTCTAGGGAGGGCCGTGTGAAAATCATAGCTCCTCAGAGCATGCAATGTTTGGTGAGACCTCAGCTTGCAGTTAGATGCCAGCACCTTGGTAAATTGAAAATGAAGAGTCCATCAAAGGTGGCTTGACATAATCTACTATAGTGAAAGGGTGGAAAAGTGGTGGATATCCCTGTTTATTGCCAGGGGTGGTTTTGTTGGTGTCTCATTTGGAGTCACCTCCTCTGTGATTCCGTAAGGCCCGTCCTCAGGGACATGACTGCAAACCCTCCTGGGGGAGTCTTCATCCCTAACTCGGATGAAGGAACACACATTAAAACAGACTCTAGGAACTTGAGACCAAAAGAGATCAGGAGAAGCCTAAGCAAATCATTCTGAGACAATTTTTCTAAATTAAACTTGCACAAAAAGTATCCGTATTTTCTTTCTTCAAGACTTTTTGTCTCATTCCACACTCTGACACTAAGAAGAACAGGTGAAAAAGCTTTGGAAGCTTCCTGTCTCCTTATCCTTCCTAAGGGGATGAAAGTTGTCTTAAAGACTGTGGGGAAAGTCAAACCAGACTTGAGTCTCATGAATTATGGTAGAGACACAGGTATGCTTCTTCATCGATATGGTATATCCTATTTATGGAAAATGACTGAAGCTGGACACAACTATCATCATGGCTCTCCAAGAACATTCCAGCACTATAGCTGCCAGGCTACTGCTTCTGCCTACGGAGTCAGGAATATAAATATCTCAGAAGGCAGAGCCTCATCAACGGACGGGCTACTCTGAAATGTATCCTGTTTCTGTTCTGTGCCAATCTCATTCACAAGAGGAATGGCTCCACATGGCCACTTTCATTTTGCATGTCCCAATTTGGGTACCAAGTTCAAGCCAAGAAGATATTGGGAAGAGGGAAGACTTAGGGAACCCTCAAACATTAGCATGCTGGAAATTTCTTGAATGCCGACGGAACCAAATATATAAGCATACATATCAAAAATAGTATTATGATGTTCATCTCACATCAGACAAATTGTCAGAGAGATTATAATGAAAGGATCATTTTGTAAACTCCATTATCTATATATCACGTATTCAACGAATATTTATGGATCTTACCAGGCACCATGATAGGCTGTGGATTTCAAAAAATAAGTCGGCTACTATCACTGAGCCCACGTTGTGGTGTGTGTCAGAATTTTATTCCTTCTTATGACTGAATAATATTCCAGAATATGTATGTAGTATATATCCTGGAATATTATACATATATATGTGTGAGTGTTATATGTATATATACATATATATACACACAATATAATACACATACTGGAATATTATTCAGCCATAAGAAGAACTGAAATAATATTCCAGTATATACCGGTTTGTTTGTCTGTTGATAGACATTTGGGTAGTGTCTACCTTTTGGCTGTTGTGAATAGCACATCTAATAGCAGACACAAAAGGCTACCTTATCGTGCAATTCCATCAATATAACATAACTAGAATAAATACACTCATAGAAACAAAAAGCTGATCAGTGGTGTCCCAAGGCCGGGGGCAGTATGGAGAGGAACAGGTTAATGAGCAGGGGTTCATTTTGGGGTGGTGGAAATGTTTTGAAACTAGATAGAGGTGGTGGCTGCACAGCATTGTGAATAGACTAAATGCCACTCAATTGTTCACTTTTATTAATATGTTTTCTTTAGTGTTATGGGAATTTTACCTCAATAATTTTTTAAAACATGAATAAGCTAGAGCATGAGCTCTCAAAGATGATACATCCTAGACGGGGAGATGAGACATTCGTGTCACGCCCATCATGCGGGACACGAAGGTGATCCTCAGACACTGAGAAGCAGGGCTGAGGTATTAGGGTGTTGGTGGGAGTGGGAGCCGGGAAAAGCGTGGTGGGCACGGAGCAGGTGGCCCTATGCCAGGCCCACTTTGTGTTTGAACAGGAGGAGGTGAGGGACGTGCTTAAAAGAGCAGACTAACGTGATTCTTTGTTGGGGGCATGGAGGCTGTGGGAAAGCAAGGTGGATGTGCCCATTCTGCTTCCCTGTCCCCGTCAAGAGGCATTCTCATGGGGGGAGCTGGCTTCCCGGCTGGTCACCTCCGGTTCTGCCCTCTGGTGGACAGCAGAGTACATGGTCCCTGAGGCCCATGTGGGGCCATGGTTCTGTCCTCCAGCACTCACTTCATCAGCTCTGCAGAGTGGCTACAGAGCCGAGGTCATCAGCAGGACTTTCCTGTGTTAGTGGTTGTGTGTTTCGTCCATGTGAGAACGGCCACCCGAGTGCCTCATCGTCCGTGTGAGAACGGCCACCCGAGTGTCTCATCGTCCATGTGAGCGTGCAGGTGTACCATCAAATCCGTGTGAGAGCGGCCACCCGGAGTGTCATCGTCCGTGTGAAGCAGCCACCCCGGGAGTGCCTCATCGTCCATTGAGCAGCCGCAGAGTACCTCATCGTCGTGTGAAGCGGCTACCCAGGTACCTCTCATCGTCCGTGTGAGCGGCCCACCCGAGTGTCTCATCGTCCGTGTGAGCGGCCACCCCAGTGTCTCATCGTCCGTGTGAAGCGGCCACTGATGTCTCGCCGTCCGTGTGAGCGGCCACCCAAGTGCCTCATCGTCCGTGTGAAGCGGCCCACCCGAGTGCCTCATCGTCCGTGTGAGAGCGGCCACCCGAGTGCCTCATCGTCGTGTGAGCGTACGGAGTGCCTCTCATCGTCCGTGTGAGAACATGCCCGAGTGCCTCTCGTCCGTGTGAGCGGCCACCGAGTGCCTCATCGTCCGTGTAGGCGGCCGCAGGTGCCTCATCGTCCGTTGTGAGGCGTACAGGTACCTCATCGTCCGTGTAGGAGGCAGCCACCCAGTGCCTCATCGTCCGTGTAAGGGGCAGCCACCGAGTGCCTCATCGTCCGTGTAGACGGCTGGAGTACCTCATCGTCCGTGTAGGCTTGACCACGATGCCTCATCGTCCGTGTGAGCGGCCCACCCGGTGCACCATCGTCCAGACGAGAGCGGCCACCCGAGGTGTCTCATCGTCCGTGTGAGGAAGCGGCCACCCAGTGTCTCATCGTCTGTGGCAGGAAACGGCCACAGTATGTGTGAGAACGGCCACCCGAGTGTCTCATCGTCCGTGTGAGAACAGCTACCCAAGTACAGGGTAAGACAGCCTGAGTGGGATTCCAGAAACCAGATCCTTCCAAGCAGAATCCAGTCAACACTTAAAAGGTAGCATGAATTAAAATAATTCTTACTGTTTTCAAATGTAAAGTTTAAAGCATTTACTAAGCGCACAGCTAAATTTTAAAAATAGCTGCTTAAATATATGCAATGCTGTCATGAGTTGGAAACGTAAGGTTCTGTGACAGGTGTGTTTTCCTGGGATGGAGCGTCCCTGGGTCAGGTGGGCCCATCAGCTGCAGTTGTGATTGCGACACTGGGTTAGGGGCACCCCGCCCACGGCAGCAGTTGGGAAGCCAGGATGCCTCTGAAGACCCTACAGGTTGAGAGTCTGCACCTGTGAAGATCACAGCTCCATGGTCTGCAGGAAGATTTACTTTCAAACAGTTTCTCATGGCATTGTTTTTTTCGTAAGGGAATTTCATGGACCCTATTTTTCAAAAATAATCCATAATGTTTCTGCATCCCTCAAGATACTGTGAGATCCTGGAGAACAACTTAGTAACTTTTTGAGGCTGGACCTGCCACCGGCTGCCAGTGAAGCCATTGACAGCTGCTTCAGACAGAGCCTAAGGGGGTTTTCCTGGGAAGGCTACGGGCACGAGTGAGGGAGACACACGGAGGCCGCATGCCCTCTACCCATCCATCTCCAATGGGTCACAGAAGCTTGCCCCAGCTGGCCCAGAAGAGACTGGCATCTGGAAAGTCCTGCAGACCTCAGGGAGACCTGACCTGCTTAGGTCCACCGGTCTTCTGAGGACACAATGCAAGAACAGAGGTGAGCTGTAGCGAGCCTGCTAATTTTGTGTCATCTGAGCTGTTCATCTTCCTGTCTTCTCTGCCCAACTCCTTCCTGGAATCCTCAGTATGGTCACCCGTAGAGATTCTGCATGAGCTAAAAAGCAGAGGCAAATGCATGTGTGGAGACCCACCAAATTCCCTCTCCTCTGGGAATATTCGAGAAACAGGCAATCCCCTCTGCCACATACACGCTCTGTCACTGCTGCCCTGACCCTGCAAAGTCAGTCCTGATGCAGACCCAGGAGGATCCTCTGCCAGAACCATCTGCATTTGCCGGAGAGCCCCAGAGCCTATTGTTTTGGTTGAAGGATTGGTTCTGTGGATCAATTTCTGACTGTCTTTCCTCTTTAATCGGAATTTTGGTTTTGCGATTTCAAAAGTTGGGCTGGGGAGGGGGGGTTGGACAAAATTATTATTTCTGAACCATGGGGAAAAAACCTGGCAAAAATGCTACAAATGGCTCCCAAAGAAGCTCTCATCAGTCAAAAGGGCTCCTTCGTGAGTGGAGTTGAGGAAACCAGGCATGTGTGTGATAAACTCTGTCATCCTGGGAGACTAGAAACGCTTCCCCCAAAATCAAATGAGAGAGAGAGTCAGGATAAAATCCAGGTCCCTGGTCAACAATCGTTACACTTTGTTACTAAATATACATTTACCACGTGAGACACCGGGTCTCAGAGAGACTCAGAGGCTTCACCTGCATTCCAGGGAATGTTTCCAAGACAAGGTAGAGATGGCGTCACAACAGTGGAGGCCTTCTCATTATGAAAACAATGCTTCTGGCCAGAATTAATTATTTATTACATTTATTAAGAATATTTCTCTCTGCCAAACATGCAAACATTTCCCCCAGAAAACTGAGGGAATATAGCCCTACCCACCCCGCAGTTGGCAAATAGAAGTGCATTCTAAAAGCCAAATTAACCGCTGGTTTTCCCATTTCCTCTGCTTTTAAATACCATGCTTCCAACTCTAAATAGAAAAATAAATGTTTGCAGATTAAAGGTTTCATTTTATTGCAGATATTCATGAAGATTAAATGTCATTTTAATCACATGTTAGTTTATTTCTCGGGGTATATTGTATCTGCATGGGTTCATTCACTGTAGGGAAATGAGTTTTCCTTGTGCCAGCTGGGGTTTATTTACCATTTGTTCTCATCCCTGCGTTAGTGTGAAGCTCCTTGAGTCAGAAAATACATCTCGTAACTAATTGGTGTTCACGGATGGAAACTTTCAGACTTGGGCTTCAGAGAGGCCAGGGTACCGCGGCAGCAAAATCCCTTTCACCCATCAAAGCGACGGCCACCCCGCGGGCTGGTGGAAGACTGAGCCCCCTGGCTGTTCACTGTCTGGAGACTAGGCAGAGACGGTGGCGACACCTGCCCTAAATCCAACCCGGAACTCTTCCCCCAGGGAAAACTGGGCATGCTGATTCTGTTTCCAGGGAAAAGTGACAGTAGATCCAAGCAAAATGTTGTCATCCAGTATGGCCTGAGGTGGAGCACATCCCTGGGACTGCTGTGCCTTCCCACCTGCATTTTAGAATCCATGGCATTTGTCCTTGTGTTTCTTTTCTTTTTTTTTTTCTTGCCTTCTTGATGGGCTATTCAGTGTGAGATCAATTGTATTAAATAAGGAGAAAAGACAGGATTGAAAGGATAGATTTTGCTTTTAGGCAAAATCTCGCTTGTGATTGTTGAGAATTATGTTTTTTTCTGATATATAATAAATGCCACTGGAGAAATCTCACAATACACCCTGGTTTCAATGGGCAATAATTCGAGGGGGAAGAACCCCCTTTTGAGTTTTGAGAGCCGAGTTCCTGTTCTCGCTGGTGAGCTTGGCATGCACACAGGGCTGGTCTTTGTCTCGGCGCTGTGTAGACTGACGGATGCCTTTTTATTTGCCACTGCTGAAGCTATAGCCTCTTAATTCCTTGTTCTTCTTTTAGAAAACAGAACAGTTGACTCATGATTCCCAAGGAAAGTGACGGCCTCACCGAGCACTTATTATTTCAACTGTACCTTTCCTTAGAAATCACACATAAAATGTATCTCAGGGTGTATTTTATCCTGGTTCAACCTCTTCAGAATAAATGATGTTTTAGTTGTGGTTTCATCCGTGGCCTTTGTCCACAGAATGAAGAACCCGTGTTCTCCAAGGATGGCCGAAAGTTTTTCTTCATCAGAGCGATCCCCCAGGGAGGACGAGGGAAATTCTATCACATCACAGTGTCCTCGTCCCAGGTAAGTCCTGCTAGTTTCCAAAACTGAACTAGAAACTAGCCTGCTAGAGGCCGTGGGGTAACAGCCTCTAGGGCTGGGCACACCTGCATTTTCAAGGACCTCGAGGAAACTGAAAGTGACTCCCAAAGGTGGCACAGAGCATGGCGCTGGTGAGTGCAGAGGTTCCCATCAGGTCTGGTAGAGCCTTGCTCTATCTGGTCATGTGTGAGAATGTGAATGACGCTTCTGCCAAGGTCAGCAGAGACCCAGGGGTCCCCTGTTCAGTGTAAGGCTGAGGACGTTGGAGGACCATCTGTGCTGGAGGTCCTTTCCTTCTCCCTCTGCTGGGGGTCTCCTTAACATACTCCCGCAGAGGCATGGCTCCATGCACTCAACGTCCCTCAGGGGTCCAGCCTCCCACACTGCCCCATCTTCATCCAGAGCTAGATGCAGGTATTATTTTATTATGTGACTGCTACCAGTCATCACTCACTGGTTCTGGGGTGTGGCAAGTTAGGAACGGAGCATCCCTGGGTAGGGAACCTCAGAGATTAATATAGATGAATTTAGGACCAAAAGTAGATATCCCAGGGTCAGCGTCTCCTGCAGAGGTCACCTCAGGGAGCCTCACGCCTGCAGGACGGGGCTGCCATGATGTTGACTTTGGGGGATTCTGCCCTGAGGAAGAAGGGAAGCATGATCTTGGAGCTCCTTAGTTTTGGAGGCAGTCTAAAGTTATTTGGGATCAGGGTAGATGAATGAAATTTGATTAGAGAAAAGGTTAATCACAAATATTCTATGGCTATAACGTAGAAGGCTCGTATTTATGATGAGGCCCCAAAGGCAATTTCAAAAGAAAGAAATCCAAGAACATCCCGACTAAGAGCAGCTTTGATGGAATCGGGGTGGGGGCTGCGGAACTCCTGGGATGGCAATGGCGTCTCTCGGAGGTTCAGGTGCAATTTGTTCTCAGTGCACTTCATGGCACGACTGATAGAATGTCTGCAAGCTGTTGCCTTTGCTTTTTCCTACGGTCTTCCTTCTACCACCCTACATTATTTTGTTTACTATTTTACACCACTTACATCAAGATTTTAAAGTGCTGCTCTGGTGGGGTGGCTCACACCTGTAATCCCAGCACTTTGGGAGGCCAAGGCAGGTGGATTACCTGAGGTCAAGAGTTCAAGACCAGACTGGCCAACATGGTGAAACAAAAATTAGCTGGGCATGGTGGCACATGCCTGTAGTCCCAGATACTTGGGAGGCTGAAGCAGGAGAATTGCTTGAACCCAGGAGGTAGAGGCTGCAGTAGGCTGAGATCATGCCCCTGCACTCCAGCCTGGGTGACAGAGTGAGATTCTGTCTAAAAAAAAAAAAAAAAAAAAAAAGATTTATAAATGCTTCAGTGTTTTCATTTGGCTCCTAGTCTCTGTATTTGCCCAGAGCCCTATCAAACGTTCCAGCAGGAAGCAGGTCTCCTGCACTGCCCATGAGGCACCCCTTGGGGGTCCCGCAGAGCCTTCCCTTTCCAAACCTGCTTCAAACTCCCCAGCCTCTCCTGCACGCTTTCTGCGCCCCCAGGCCCTGCTGCCCCCAAACCTCCATGTTTGAGTCTGCAGCCCCCAGAGTGTGTGCCTTGGGCCCTCCACCTAGTTTAATCTCCACCTGATCTGCACCCACCTCCCAGGGCACCTGCCATCCAGAACAGCTGCCCCTTTTCAAATCCCCACTGAAACATCACTGCTGCCTAGACGGCCCTGTCCTCTCTTCTGTTACCATTTGTCATTACCGTTGTCTGTTCTTAGCTCAAGGGGCACACAGGGAAAGACAATACGTGCAGGACATGTAGTGTGGCAATACAGGTCCAAACCGTCCTTGTCAGCAGCAGCAGGGAGCGCCCTTTCTCCCTCCATTTATTCTTCTCTCTATTTCCCTCCCTGAATTCATCCACCTCCCGGCATTTGTCTCTTTCCTCCCTCACTGGTCCCCCTTCAGTAATGGCTCCACTAATTAGATTTACAAATGAAAAAGGCCTATAAAGCATTGATTCTCCTGAGATTGCTTCCATCGTGGTTGGAGGCCAGGTCCAAGTGATTTGCACCACCAAAGAGGACAGGGCACAATTCCCCACCACTGACATTCGGGGTGGGGGAGGCTTCAGGCCTGGAGTTGGTTGGGAAGCTTCACGGAGGATGTTGCCTCCCAGGAGAGGAGTGGGCAGAAGGGGCAGAGAGCCCTTCCTACAGAGAGAATGGCAGCCCCTGTCGCCTGGTGTCCAAAACAGCTGGAGGATGAAGAGCCATGCTGGGACACTCGTGTCTGCTCCTGATGCCGTGTCTGTGTGTTTCAGCCCAACAGCAGCAACGACAACATCCAGTCCATCACCTCCGGGGACTGGGACGTGACCAAGATCCTCGCCTACGACGAGAAGGGGAATAAGATGTGAGTGACAACCAGGGGCCTGCCCCATCTTACTGGCCAATGGGACACGTTTGTTATTGTTTGTCAATTACACTCATGGAGTGCAGAAGCATGGAGGCCGCCTCTTTCCTCCTCAGGCAGCATCACTAACTCCTAGTTTCTTCATGAAAATGTATCGTAGATTCCCGTCTCAGCAGTCCAGCTTCCAGAGCTGCAGCATCCTGAAGATACAGGCTGGCAGCCAGCCCGTGAGGGGAAGCGCACTAGCAGCAGTAGTAGGGGTAGTACTGATGCTGATTGAGTTTTCTAGAAGCAGTAGTAGGGGTAGTACTGATGCTGATTGAGTTTTCCAGCAGCAGTGGTAGGGGTAGTACTGATGCTGACTGAGTTTTCTAGAAGCAGTAGTAGGGGTAGTACTGATGCTGACTGAGTTTTCCAGCAGCAGTAGTAGGGGTAGTACTGATGCTGATTGAGTTTTCCAGCAGCAGTAATAGGGGTAGTACTGATGTTGATTGAGTTTTCTAGAAGCAGTAGTAGGGGTAGTACTGATGCTGATTGAGTTTTCTAGCAGCA